TTGATGTGTGTATGTGTCCAATTCTCTTTTTCATTCATTTAACTTGATTTCTTTTAGTTCTTCATAGAGAATAGTATAAATTTGAAGTATATATATATATATATATATATATATATATATATATATATATATATATATTTGCGAGAGAGTGATGATTTATGTTAAGTAGTACATACTTTTTGGTCGAGATATTTATCAATCAGCATATATCTGTATATATCACAATATTCATAGTTTAAGGTCATATACACCTTTTTTTGAGAAACAAAGCCTATTGAAGTTGTATACGAGAGAAAATTCTCGCTTGTCCCAATTTATTGTTGTGGTTGATGGATTATACCTCATGGTTTGTGTTATTCACATTATTATTATTACTATTCACGCCGTTGTTCCTGTTCATAAATTTCATCATTTCATCATATTTGTGCGTGTGGGCTTTGATACTACCCCGGTGCTCAGATCAAAACAGGTGGTTTTCTTAGGGGGCAACACCCCGAGCCTTCGACCTAATGGTCTGACTCACAAGGCAGTGGAGTATCGTGAGGAGGTGCAGTCCCATGGTAGCCGGTGACCAACGATTGGTTCATACGCCATTTGTTTCTTCAGGATACTGGATTCCATGTGCACCATTGGTTTGGGATCCGGATAAAGCGCGGGACATTCACTTTTTGTTCTCTCAGTTTCGTAAACATCACTCCTGCCACGATAAGGCAGTGAGTAGGACTTCCCTGGCAGAGGCTGTATGCGCGTGGACGTGTGAGAGTATTTCGAGAGGGAGAGCGGGCCCTCCCTACTCTCGGCCATACCAGAGCATTTGGGGACTTCATAAATTTCACATCTTACCATTGATTTATTGAAAGATTCTTGTACTAATCATATGCCTATTATGACCTTACTTATTATGAACTATAGAAAACAATACACTGTTTTATTTTTTCCGTCTCACAAACTATACTGTACTATAGCTTCCTTGTACTATTAGGAAAGCTAGAAATTATACTTATTTACTCTTATTATCTGTTAAGAAATTCATCATTTCGTTCCGATTTTTTCCACAGTAAACTTCGATAACAGTAATGTTTGTGTGCATTTAGTTAATCTTATGATAAAAAATTAATTTTCGTCATAAAAATGTACAGCTGTTTAATTTTAGATAAATTCTCATGACATCACCGTTATCTACCGATTTTAGGCATTGATATGGAAAGTATTATAGGGCTACTGCTAAGTCGGTTCGTAAAAACGAAAAGGCTGGATAGTTTACAAATAGTTGATTTGTGGGTATTGACTAATGTTGTGTATGTCAGGTCCTTCATAGTGCTAACGAGATCCTATCGATTAGGTTGCCCACTAGTCTAGGTGACTTGACATCAAATGCACTATTTTGAGATATATTGCGGTAGTTGTAGGTAGGGGGCATGAATTCTCTCAAGATTACAGATACACCTTACTGACGAGTGCCAAAACCTAGGTTCTGGCATCCTAAGATAAAAGTCGATTACCTTCAACCACCACCTGATATCTCAACATAGTGCATGTGATTTCAAGTCATCTAGAGTAGTAGGCATATTGCAACTTGATCGATAGAATTAGTTTAACATTAAGGTGAACCTCATATGTATGACATTAGTCTCTACCCAGAAATCGATCAATTGTAAGTACATCTCAGTCCTACAGGTCAGTCCCTGCCTAGATACCTAGATAACGTGTCTGACTATCATGCTGGGTGACACGCGAAATAACACAAAACTTACGTCTGCAGAGTTTTCTGTTGACTCCTTTGAACCACTACCCTACAAGATTGAATCGCTGTTTCATGCTAACTTGGTACACTTTATCAAAACCCTGAGTCAACAATATATGTTTAGACCACTTCAAATGTGGCGGTCCGCATTTCTAATTTAGGCACATCTTTGAGAATTGAATTATGAGGAAACTGTCCAACACTCCCTAGATCTCAACAATTTTCCGACTGATATTAGTTCACCACGAAAGTTAAATTTAAAACGTAGTAATCTTCATAATAAACCTGTTGTAGTAAAATAGATTATCATTATTAGAATAGAAACATTCTATTTGAATGAGATGTTAATTTATTCAGCTTTTGTATGATTGGTTTCACAGTTTTTTGTAAAATCAAACTATCGAATAAAATAATAATTCAATGAACAAAATGAAAGTATGCACCAGCAAAATGAAAGACTATAAGTTGATAGTGCTGGTTTGCACACGAAACCGAAGGTGTATGTACATTGCTGAGGAGCCCCGTACTGGGATAAGACGACTGTCTGTTCCTTCCAAATTTTAATGGTTGTAATTAAACATATAGATTGCTCCACTTATCCTGCGAATTTTATCAATCCTGAAAGGGTGGTGTTTGACGAAATTTCCGCACAGATTCAGAGAGCTCAATTAACCTCTGCCAGCTTGCGTCACTTGCACTGTAGGTAAGATATCCATTTATCAGCCAAAGGACGAGCTTACTACACAGCAGTTCGCTTTGTTATACCTCATGAATATGAAGAATGGCCATCAGGAATAAAGGATATTTATAAGTTCCTAATATTCGATCAAAGGTGTCTTCGAAGCACATTCCTCGTGTATTTTTTAACCACCTAATGAGGATTGGTGGGGTTAGGAATTTCAAACTGTCGACATAGCTATTCATAGATATGCCAGCAACTGGTTCAGTGGAAGGAATGAAAGATGAATTTTTTGTGGATTTTTATTGGTATTTACAAAAAGATTGTTCATCACAGTCCTGAAGTGTTTTGATGAATGTAGGACACAGTATTAAAGTTTCATATATTTTGACAACATTTTTAAAAGAAAATTCCCGATCTATATTAGTTTGGAGGAGGTTTTAGCCTTCTGTGGGTTACTTACAGACTTCATAGTTGGTCACTTTCGATCACTATCAACTTTGTATTAATTATTTCTTTTCGGTTTATTGTTTCTTATCATTGTTGTTAACCTATTTTCCTGTGTCACCTAAAATTTTGCAATGCCCAGTAATAAAACCTTAAGTGTCAGCACCAAAACTGAAACTAGAATTCCAGAAATGTGCTAGAATTGTCAACATTTTAAGTTCATTTCTTATTCACCCAAATATTTTATTAATATAAACCCTAACATCTAAGGTAATGAGATTTTATTGTTTCTCAGTTGTACTAAAATTCCATATAATAATGACGCACTTGACCTTATTTAATAAATATGTTCTTTCTAAATTGACTACTTTTCTGGTATCTATAAATTCGATTTTGATCTTTCATGAACCTGTGCTATTTTCGATTTTCTTCTAATTAAGTTCACGATTTCTTTTTTTTCGGTTGATGTTTGTGTGTTATCACTATTATTATTGAGTAGCCTGTTAGAATAAGCTTAGTGATTTCTGTCAGAGGTACTACGTACAGCTTAGATAATCTGTTATCACTTGGTGATTATCCGTATTTATGCTTTTTTATTTCATTCCTTACTGTCTAAGTGTTCATTTATTAGTATACGATGTTTGTGGAAATGATTGAATGTTTTTAGTTTGCACCACAGACTAACCTTAACGCGATATGCTGAGCTCGACCGCTAGTGAGATCGTGGATGGACACCGTTGAGTGATCTCACACTGGGATGAGACCATCATTAAATGCTTCCTGGTTTTTGGTGGTCATCTTACTGAGGTTATTTCACGATGTAAATCATAAATTTCATTCTCCCAGGTGAAACGATCATTAAAAGGCTGAAAGCATTGACTGATTGTTACGTCCTAGCATGGATTTTCTCAGGAGTGTACATCCACGGCCTCGCCGAGTTTCAGACTCAGGACCTTTGATCCTCACTAGTGGGAGCTTTACTTTTAGGCCCCTGAACCAACATTCAGTGGTTTATATGCTTAACTTCAGTCATTTTACTGTATTTTACGACCATCTCTCACTGTTTTTAGTGGGTACTTCCCTGATATTCGACAAATTTGAAATCCATTGGTCGCTAATTCCCTCTAATCGCGAAATCTAAACGTCCTAGGTTTGATTCTTGGTGAGACTGTGGATTTACGCTGCTAAGGAGTCAATCACTAGCACGAAACAATTGTCAAGTTTTGAATATTTGTTCAAATTATGTTGATTAGTTTTTTCTTCTTAATTTTAGCGTTTCTTTGTTCTACTTATGTTGTTAGTTGAACCTATTCCATCTTACCTCTGGTCAATCTGCTTTTAATGTTATGATTAACATTTTTATGATATAATTTTACCAACTCAATAACAATGGGTTATAAAGTAATCGACTAAATTACTATCTAGATGTAAACCTCATTATTTGATATAAACATTGTCTTTTTATTATCCTAAAGTGTATTGTATTGGTCTAAAATCTTATTATACTCTGACTGAAACTCAATTGAAAGTATGATTTGAAAAGTTAGTCATACGCAACATAGAACCTCTCTCATATGTGCATCGTCGGTCCAGGTTTCCACACTATACCAACATAATGAGATGAAACTATCAAGGCAAATGCCAGAGTAGTAGAAGTAGTAAAATTAGCAATAGCAACAGAAGAGACGAAACATAAACGATTTCATTTAAGTGGAAGTAATCGATTTGCAGAATAAAACTTAAAAAAACTATTTTGAAACTCCAGAATCTATGGGAAAACTATGATGGGAGGGATTTTGGTTATTGTGAACGATTATGAGCCATGCTACCTAATTGGTCAAGATAATCTCAAAAACATGAACCATGTAATCTGCACTTACCAATATACGGTTCAGTCCATCATTCAGTTTCTTCATGGGCTGGCGCCACCTCTACATGAGTAGGGAATATTTAATTAAAATTTACAGTTTAGATGAATTTATTCCAGCTTTCATTGTTTATCACTACCAATTTTTCTTGACTGGTTTTCTCATGTTAATTAATCAATGGATAATAATAATAATACAATAATATACATAGGTTATAACTTATATAAATATATTTTTATATATATTTTACTTGCATTCAAAGTATCGACGAAGCTCGATTCCCTGTTCAGTTAGATTTGGCTATTCACGTATTACAAACTGGTGAAGTGAGTTGAAATAATTGTAATTTTTTTTCCATTGAATGATTTTCATCATTTAGTTTGAGTAATTGTTTTCTTTTGTCTCAGTTAATGTCAACAACACGAACAATGAAATTATTAGTTAAATAATATTGTGAAGATTATGTTTAACTTGATAGTTGTTTTCATCTCGCTATATGACAACTGGAGAATTGTCCTAAGCCGTGTAGCCCTGGTAAACTTTTCGACTAAGTTTCCGGATTTAGTTGTTGGATTATGAGAGTTCATGGGGGAGGGATAATACCTTCAAACTATTTAGTTACAATCCAATAGTTTAGATATTCAATTGTACTGTTTTTGTGATACGGTGCAACACTTGTTTAATATCATGAATAAGCTGGTACTTTATTCTCAAGTTGGTTTGTTTCTTTTGTCATAGCTACTGACTAGAATATCTCGAAATGGATCTCAGAGCCAGTCACAAATAAGCGTAATATTTGTGTTGAAATTTTATACAATTTAAAAGTGATTCTCACCACGAGGGTGTTGCTTACGAAATTGAGATAACGAGAAGCAAATATCTGGCGATTTAACTGGGTTGGTGAGTATGGAGGATTCTCTGAGGGGAATTTGAAAACCCTGATTCCAAACTACTATTGTACATGTGTTCCAGAGTCGTTTGGAAGCAAATGGTGTATGGACCTATCGTTGGTTACCGGACGCCATCAGATCACACCTCCTAACGTTACTTTACTGTCTTGTGGATTAAACCTCTATGTCAAAGGCTCCAGGAATGGTTCTGTAAGGAGATCACCTGTTTAGGTTTCGGCACACGGACAGTGTTCCAGCCTGTACACAAAATTGAATGATAACTACTTTGTGCGGCGTATATATATTTGTTGCCTCCTTGTATCATTGTCTATGTGTTTAAATAAATAAATACACGTTCCGAATTGAACGAAACGCACGTCCTGGACTCCGCTGCTTACTACACTCTATCTGCTCTAGATTGAAAATATCTCTTTTGTTCGAGATTGAAGATACATATTTTTAACGAATTCCACCTTAATTCAAAAGCTTCCTGCAGATTACCTCTAAACACATACTACTACTACTACTACCATATAATCTAATAAATGATACAATCGATTTTTCAAAAACAAGCAATCTTTAATAGTTTTTCTACTCAGTTAACATACTGTAAAACTCTACATCCGGTGACCGGTTATTAAACTTAGATTTGCTGATGTTGTATTTAATTTTTATTCTATCAGTGTTCATTGTAGTGTAATTTCTAAATGCAGTAATCTCCAGTTTCACTGTCGTTATTACTATTATTCTTACTATTATTAGGAAAACAACAATAATTAACACAAATCATTCCAACTATGAACATATTTATTTTTTCTCTCCTAATTATCATATAGTTTGGACTAGTTATATTACTTCATGTTTTCCCTATAATGTATTCTCTCTCAGTTTTGATTCTCTACCCCTATCCAAGTCACATTGCATTTTACAGTCAAAGTTTAACAACAAATCTGATCAAGGCGCACTGCTGATGATTGATGGAGTGGAATTGGTAGTAGTAGTAGTCCATTGAATATCATCATCGCAGTCGCATAATAATTGTAGTTCCATTTTTATCGTCAATCTGCTTCGAGTTCCACTCTTACTCCAATATATGTATCTGTATACTTATTTCTATATTTGTCGATTCCCTTCTATGCTTTATTGTTTATTTGTATAAATATGTTTGTACATGTATATGTGTGTATTCGTGTTTTTTTATTTCCTAATTTAGTCTCTTCATGTTAATATAAATGGTACCACTACTAGTTCGAATAACAATAACAATAATAATAATGAATATAGGAAAATTGACAAAACGGTAAGTCTCTATCATAAAAAATTACCAATCTTTGTTAGGGTTATTCCTCCTTGTTTACTTCAACTTTCTAGTTGATATTAGTCATAGATATAATGATGATGATGACTGATAATGGTTATCCATCATCATCTGATTTTGACCTGCTTGATTGAGTTGGTTTTTTGTAATATAAACATACAGAGAAAAGAGCAAGATAATGTTTTGTTTGTTTTCCTATTAAATGGAATATTGAGAGAAGAATTGTTGACTTTTATTTATTTGGAAGATGATAAACAGAGATCAAACTATTTGTTAATATGGATACTTGTTGGTGTGTACGAGTGGAGATTATTGGATTTTTGTAGTTGACATCATGAACTGACTTCAAAAGGCAACCATTGGAAACTAGGAAGCATTGGATATCCATGACCAGTAAACTTCAACCATTTCAGGTCTGGGACAATTGCTCATTGATGGAAATAGAAGATGATTATGTAATATTACGAGTCGGTCTAGAGGTTAAGTGCTCACGCGCAAGACTTCAGGTAGTTGGTTCGTAAATGTGTACTGCTGAGAAATCCCACGCTGGCTTTCAAAGTTTGTGTAACTACAATCAGTTCATGATGTAAACTATAAAATTCAACAGTTTCATTCATCGGATTATATAAAATTCTACTATTTCACAACCGTCTTTCCTCACATCTGTTGTCGTTTTCTATTTTCCTTCCCTCAAAACTATACCAAACAACATATACAATAAATTAGCTTGAAGAAGATTTAGATCCAGTTTGGAGAAGTCGTTCTGTTCTCTGTATGCCAATTAAACATTCCGATGGTAAAGTATTAGCTGTATGCATAATAACAAATAAATCAACTGTTGATTTGAGAATCAATAATAATAATTTCAGTCAACAAGTTACGCATCAATTCGATTTCAAACCAGTTACAGATAGCATTCAATATTCATCAAATGATAATTTATCATCTAAAGAACCCATTACGATGTCTTCATCAATTAACAATTGGTCTGGAATATTTACTTATTCGGATGAATTTTTATTTGAAGCATTTGCTTTATTTGTTGGTTTGGGTATTTCAAATAGTCAACTGTATGAAAGAGCTATAAGAAGTGCAGCAAAACAAAAAGTTATCATGGATGTTCTGTCATATCATGCTACAGCGCCGACATCTGAGGCTAAACGCCTAGCTACATCACTAATACCGACTATGAGATTTTATCATTTAGATAAATTTTCATTTACTGATGTACGGTAGGTTGTTAATACATTTTTTTTAGAACTACTTCTATCTTTTAGGGATTATGGAGGTTGTTTAGTTTCATTGAAATCACGAACCGATCAGTGTTAGAACACCATTGAAAACCTGGAATCACTGGACGGCCGTTTCGTCCTAATCTGAGAGTCAAATGTGCGTATCCGCGATCCCGCACGTAAACCTCGAACCTACGTCCTTTAGTCTTATGCGCTAATGCTTAGCCTCGCGATCACTGAGCCGGAACCCAACTGTATTGATGTCTAACTTCAATCAGTCTATGATCTTGCTCAACCCTTGATCTATTACCTGAGGCGGACAACTATATCGCCTCCAACGTTGATCGGACTCCACTGATCATGGCTTTTTTTTATCGAACAAGCCTATTGACATCGTATCAATTGTTTTAATAATGCAAAACCTCAGAAGGGATAAAAAAAGTCTGAAGTAAAATAGAATGGCAGCTCATCAATTAGAGATGTCTGAATTCTGATGTGAACTGACAGACATTTATCTTTCTGACTGTTCAATATATGATTTGCTTTCCTATGTTTGGTTTCTATTCTGCGCCCATTGAGTGTGAACCGTTTATAAGCGTGCTAGATAAAGTATTTCCTTGCCTATCTGATTATTTGTATTTAGTGATATATCGTGTATCTGGTTCAACGTGATCCAGTTCGTTTGTGGCGTTTTGATCGAGTATCCAGTCTTGTGGTAGAATAATCTCAGTCAGAGGTCGTGTTATCATATTACAATAGTAGTATACCGTGAAAACAAAAATATTTTTATGCAACTGCTCTATCATGTTGATGTTCGCGCTAAAACTGTTGCGCAGTACCTTACGTTTTAGACACCCAGTACGATATTTACTGACCTACGGAGTCCAGATAGTCATCCTCTTGTGAAACAGGTATGAATGCGATGGTTTTGATTTTGCGAATCTGAGTTTCATATTCATTGACGCTACATTAAGAATGATATTCACTTTCAACTTCATCAATGTGATATATGTCTGCTATAGCTGTTCATGTAATGATCGTTGGTCAGGACCCTTTACTTTATTTTACTTTCAGATTTCTATCAATCTTCAGGAAATGTTTTACATTTAATAGGCTCATGTCCTCAATGTTTTTCAAATGTTGGATAAATTAAATGTTTTCGACAGTGTTGATGCTGTATTTAAAACAATTTCCATTGTATTCTTTGTCAATTAGTTGTTCGCTGTAATCTTATAATCCACTCATTTTTTACAAGTATATACTTCATGAAGGGATTAAACACCCAACAAATTGTAGTATCTGCTAATTCATAACTACTCTTGTAATTGCTTTTAAACTGAGGTGGTAATGTTCTTTGACCAAACTTGAACAGTCTTTAATCAATTACTGATTATGTTTAAGTTCTACCAGAATGACTTCTCAATTTATTTCGAAAATGCTCTCAAAAATCATTGTGTATATCTACATTATCATGGAAGAAACCAGTTTTGAATCAAAGTTGGATTCAGTATATTTTCTTTACGAGTTATCGTTACTTGGACAACCATTGAGAACTGATTTATCTTATAACTGTTTTCTTCCCATTTGAGATTTCTCATAACGGTGCATCCTCCAACTTATACGGGATCGACCTACAGATGTAGGAGCCTTAAAGCGAGTACGACACGTATAAACCGTCCAATCTAATTCTAAATAATTTTTATTGACCATAGTTCATTATTCAAATTATTTTCATATTCTGAAATTTCCCCAAAATCGACTTTGTAGTGTATTGTCGCATTGTTTTAATATCTTCCTGAATTACAAACACAATCAATACTACCATCTTTAAGAATAGAATATTTCAATGGTTTTTAGATTAGATATTGTAACTTATATTTATTAAAAAAATACTTTTACTGTTTCACTGTTTTTTTAATTAAAAAAAAAAACGAAATATATAGATTATCAGATGAAGATACTCTGAAAGCATGTATACGAATGTTTCAGGAAATGAATTTTATGAAATCAATACATTTCGATCAGTTATCATTTGCTCGTTGGCTATTATCTGTACGTAAGAATTATCGTGAAGTTACTTATCACAATTGGCGTCATGCATTCAATGTGACTCAGACAATGTTTTGCATATTACTAGTAAGTAATACATGCTTGTTCTTATACTCTATGTCATAAATTTACTCTACACATGTATTTATACACATGTGTTCGGTTTTTATGTATGTATGCATATTTTATATGTATCCAGGCAGATATCTTAAGTTTGTATGCTTGTTTTTACATGTTCATATGTGGGTCATTTTCTCCAAAAATAATTTTCTCTGGCGTCTTTTCCCATCTTTCTTCCAATTTTCTTTCGTCGATAAAGTATCATTTTTGCGTTTTCAGTAAAAAAAATTTATATTATTTGGAATATTTTCATAGTGGACTGATTTCAGTTTTAGAGTAACACATGCGTTAACAACTGGTTTGTATTTGTGAAGCGGTAACACAGTGGCTAGTTTGCTTAACTTTCACTCTCAAAGTTACCAGTTCAAACTCAGCTTCAACAACTTCAATGTAGTATCACTAGCACTCAAACTTAATTTGTGGATCCAAGACAAGTACATAAATCTATGTCCCTGGTAGTATTTTAATAATGATCGGATCTTCGGAAAACTCAATGCTTAAAAACGTATACAAGATTTAATCTTGGAACTACAATCAAACCCCCATTCTGATAATAATAATCATGTGCTCACTAGCGAATGGCTTCAAGATATATTTTCTGAAGTTCTCATGAGAAGCCGTGATCAGTGTAATTCAACCGTGTTTGTTGTGAAGCAGTTACTCACTGAAGACAATGGTTAGAGGTGGTGCAATTTCGTGTATTGATTGAAGTTAAACATTAACACTGTTAGATGCCGGCTAAGTGGCCTAGAAGTTAGGCGTTTGCGCACGAGGCCGATAGGTCTCGCGTTCGAGACCCACGGACGGGGTCGTGGGTGCACACCGCCGAGGAGTCTCATATTAGGAAGAAATGGCGGTCCAGTAACTTCATGTTTTCAGTGGTGGTCTAGCTTAAATCGATTCATGAATTTAACTATTAAATTTGATATATTAATTACTAGTATAGGGGTTGTGGAGGTTATTAAGTTTTTGATTGAGATCATGAACCGGTTGATGTTAGACCACCTTTGGAAGCCTGGAAGCACTGGACGGCCTTTCCGTCCCATTGTGAGACTCCTCAGCAGTGCGCACCCACGGTCCTGCTCGCGGGATTCGAATCCAGGGCCCTCGGTCTCGCGCGCGAACGCTTAACCTACTGGACCACTGAGCCGGCATCCATTGGTGATAGTGTCTAACATCAACCAATCCACGAAATTGCGCGACCAACGTCCATTGTACTGAGGTAGATACCTGTTTCTACCCGACATGGATTAGCTCCACTGATCACGGCTTCTCACTAGAACTCCGAGAATTCCCTCACTAAGCTGGTCACTAGTGCTCACTAGCTCTTATCCCCTACAACATGACTTTGATTTGAAATTTCATGATTCCCATGGGGAGGCACAATATAGTGCTAACTCAAAAGCACTACGCAGCGTCAGTATTTCGGTTGAATCTTGGGGGATAGTCTCGTCGATGGGCCCCACTGTGTCTGCCCGGAGAGGATGGTGATCGCTTGAGCCGTGTCTGTAGCTATACTATTCTATCTAAACTCGCATCTGGATGTAGCACGCTCATCATATTATTTAGTGTGTGACACGTTGGCTGCAACGCTTTGGTGCGAGACGCCTCTGGCGATTGATTCCCAGCAACCGTCACTCTTGGATGATAGCTAGGGTGCAAACTTAATGACTAAAGAGTTCTGTAAAAAAGCTGTTATCCTGCATATTGCTTTGAATAATTTTTGATCACAGAATTTCTTTAATAAAATGTTCGAATACATATGGAAATATCCTAAGAGGCGCAATACTTCATCGTTTTTAATAAATGTGCCTACTTCCTTTCATAAACTATCAAGTTCTGTAATCACCAGAAACTCATTGTACTAATTATTGGAGAATTTACAATCGGTTAACTCTAGCATCACCCAATAGCAAACGAACTAAACTATGATGTTGAGTCACATAAATTAATGGTCATATTTCAAATCGATCATTAACACTCAATAAATACTAACAACTAGACAATATGACATTGGTAACTATTCTTCGATTAGTTAGTATAAACGTGGATCTATTGTTTAAAGTTACTTTTGACGTTCAGGAAAGTTTGTACTCCATCTTGGCTCAGTCGATAATAATCTTAACGTTTAAAACGGTATTGTAGTTAACTGTGGCGCTCAACTGCGCTGCATTTTTCCATTTTCTCAAGATATAGAATGCTAATATAAACATAAAGACTTTATTGTCTTTAGCCTATTGTTGGTAGTTATCAACATAAAACGCTAAACCTATGTTCCGTAATATAGTTTGCAATTGTCATTAAGGTGTACTTGCAATCTTGATGAAACTGATGTCTTCTGGAAGATTTAAACACGCGTCATCCAGCTTCACAGCTTGAGACGTTATCATTAGGCTAGTTGCTTAGCGACCGTACCCAGGTCGAAGGTTTCCTTACATCTCAACATTCTGCATGCTCTGTCGAGTCATTTAGATTAGTGGTCTCATTACAACTTGACCGATAGAATTCGAGTAATACTAAAGGGGTAGACAAACATGTCATTGATCATCACTTGGTGATCAATCACTTGTGTATTACTGAGAAAAATATTTTTGGAACTATCAAGCTGTAAACGACGAGTTCTTCCTATTTTGTATCTTGTTCTTTTCACTATTCAATAAACATCGGATTTTCATTTCTTTCGAAATAGGTGATATAGGTAATTCACTTGATCGGAGCAAACTTTAGTCAAGTTAATGTTTCATTACTCAATATCATTGTTGTTTAACTATCTCAGTATGAATTTGATCATCTTCAGTTTGGGACATACTTATAATATTTCATTCACAATTTTATAGAATTTCTTCACGAATTTAGATTTTCATCTTAATCTATCGAGAATTCTCCTGAGCAAATATCTTTTATTCTCCCCACAGGCAAAACAATTTTTTTAATATTGCTGGTTCGTTATGTTTGGTTATTTTGAGTATTTTGCTCTCTTTACAAGGATATATGGTAAAGCATATTTGTGAACAACAAAACTGTTTAAATCAATTTTCTTTCTGTGTTCTCAATGAATCTTTCAGAAAAAAAGGCTAAAATATTAATAAGAATAAATCTGTGTTTAGTGTTAAATTGAATTACAGATGAACTTGTTTTGCTATATTATTAAGCCACATCAAATTCTATCAATTTATATCATGTTAGTATTTTAATCAGCAAAAGTTAGTTAATATGTTAAGTTTGTGAATATTGTTCAATCCGTGGTTAGTATGCTCTATAGACTGATCTCAGTTAAACAACCATCTAAAACCAAGAAACATCAAATAGCTGTTTCATCTTAGAATCTGATTTCATGGTAGTGAGCACTTATGATATCACTAGAGATCTAGCCTAAGGCATTTGAGTTGTCGTAATCAGGGCGTTAACTTGAGACCACTTGGTTGGCATCCCATTTCCCACTTTTTCAACTTCAACCCATAAACGATTTTGCGCTGCAATCATACAATATCATCGGTGAAATCCTTCATCTTTGTTGAACTGCATGCGTTTCGATCTCTCATTAGAGTTCCAAGAATTATTGTCAAGCCTATTCGCTAGTGGGTCAATCACTTATTATTAGAGTAGTAGGATTGTGCATATTTCTCAATCTTTAGTACTCATTAAAGAAAGGCTTTAGTTAGACAGCTATTAAAAGCCTGATAACTCCATATCACCATGTCGTTTCATCATGAATTGCTTTAATGTTCGTTCATTTAAAGTCAATTTATGATGTCAAATAACTTTACAATTTGAATTGTTACATTACTACTTCTTATTATCTTTTTTCAAAACCATTTTAGATGATTTCCAACACATTTAATAATCTAATTGTTCTAAGCGTGTATTTTTGTTTTCATCAAAATGAAAATAATTTCTTTCAATTACTTATTCCTATCAATTCATTGTAAATGGAAGTAGTGACGTTTATATGCAAGGAAAATCTTTTTCTTTTCAATATTTTGTTTTTAAGTTCTTTTCTTTTATGACCAGTATTTTTTACGTCATAAACAAAGTATACTTGTAATTTAATTGTAATTCATCCACTTATAATATTTGATTATGGACAATATATATGTACGTCATAAATGTTTTATGAGTTGACAAAATATTGGACATCTTAAAAACCATAAAGCTAAACTTCATTTTGTTAATTTATAGTTAATTAAAACTATAATCTATTGATAGACGATGCTCTGCTTAATCCTCTAAGTTAGCTTTTCATGTAAAAATGTATTTATTAATGTAGATTTCCCAGTTTTGATAGCTCAATGGATAATACTTTCATTTTTGAAGCTAGATGCACATGATTCTTGAATCTTAGTGTTGAATATCAGCATTGGGATACAGTCACATTCAACTGACGACTCATAAACAAAATAAAACGTGTTTTAGATTCCACTATTACCTTTTATTCAAGTTTAATGAAATCTTGTAGTTTTTTGTTTGAATTCACTTGAGGGAATCAAACAGACAATATTGTCTGTAATTGTAAAAATTAGTTTATACATACCTTTTAACTCAGTACTCAATAATAATTGAAGTTATATTTAACAACATTTAAAGACCTGAAGCGGAAAAATTGTCAATGAACGCTTGTAAAATAGAAACTAATGTTAGAAACGTTTTATCGACTGCTCATCAATATTCAATAACATTTCTAAAATTAATTAACAGTATCATAACCATGAATTTCTTTAACACAACCATACTTATTATATGTAACCACTGTAAAGAGTCCTTTATTTTTCTTCATCGTTCCATGCATTCGTGTAAAAACAATGAAAATTAGACCATTAAACATAGTTGTTTTGTAGTATGTTACGTTGATTTCCATGATTACGTCAGAATGTGACTCCGTAGGGAGGGGTCGCGTTATGTTTTTTTTTCAACTTTGGAACTAGGTGTATTATATTTGTGCGTCAAAATTGTGATACATAGTGTCGGTTGCTATGATAAGCTCACATAGCTTATTGTAGCTTCCAGACAAGCCAGTTTATTCATCCATCTTCAGTCATATTTTGACCTTGTTAATTATTCGCTTATCAACCTTGACTGTCTTTATAGGAGCGTTTGAGTGTTCACTTCTTATCTTACTCATCACGTCTGTAGCTTATTTTTGTCTCACTGTAAATATCGATTCATGCTTGATCAATCTGAGTTGGCTCACACGCCTTCCCCACTTGCGCGTCGTTTTGTGGTGTGTGCTATTAATGTCGACAGATATAATTAGTATATATCACTATTCGAAAGTGAAATGTCTGGTGGCAGAATGTTAAAAAGATCGAAGGAAAGAGAACGAGAACAGTGAATGATTGGTGTGAAAATGAAGGAGCAATAAAGTCTGAGGCAATTCAGTGATACTTTGCAAATGAAGTATTTACTGTATGGTTCTCAGATTTTATTAAGAGATCCGGTAATTTTGTATTCAGATACATTCGATTGTTCCCACTTGTGTTCTTGTTCACTACAATTTCACTTCGCTCCTTTCTTTTCGCTTTCTTTGTTTCGTTTCTTCGATCGTTTGTCTGGATTAGTGACTGTACAAAATACACGTACTCGAAATCCATTCTCGTATATGACATATTTAATTCCAATATTCACTAATGCGATATAAGTCGATAATTAAATACGAAGGTAGCCAGGATGTATATTTTGACAGCAATCTTGCAATAACAATCATACTTGAGACTTATCTGGAGTCAGGCAATAAAGATAGGCTGGATCGTTTTCTTCGTATTCGATAGATGTATTGAATTCCGTGTCTCCGGTAAAATAAAGATCCCATTTAAATCCTAATCTATTCTTTCGACTTGATACGTTTTTAACAGCGGTAATATCAAGAATATTCAAACATGAAAGTGTTAAGGATACATATATTTAAAACACTTGTATATCAGACCAACGAAATGAGATGTACGAAGATAGGTTGGTATTTGAATAGATTGTGGAATAGATCAATCTCTATGAATCATTTCATGAGCTTACACCGAGTTACAAAATGATTAAGTTACGTGACATACAAACATATAAATACTTATCTCATTAGTAATTCCGTGACTGTATATGAAATTTTCACTACATTTGCTTATTTTGCATTGTTGGCTAGTAGATAAACTTTACTCATTAAATTCTTTAAATGCTAATTAGCATAGATATCCACTTAAACATTTTTCATGACATCGGTATACTAGATTTTAATGTTTTGCTTATAGAATTTATGTATATTATTATCAAGATGAATTTTTATGAAAAAATATTAAATTCACCTGCTGATGATGCGTAGATGAATTGTTTAACTAAATGGACTATGAATATCATTTACATCTTAGTATAGAGGGCATGAAGTCAGATACTATGATCATTCGTGAAAATTCAGTTTTTTCTAATGTTTCAATCTATGATGAAGATATGAATGACAATGTTGTAGTCAGGCGTCTATTCCTTGTTTATAAAATGAAACTAAGTAAAACTTTTATTGATATGTACTATTGGCTTTTTTACAGCCATGTATATTTGTCTCCTAGCTGGTTCTGTGAAAGTCTTCAAAATTATATGAACTACTCCTCAAAGTGAAATATGTTCTTGAATATCTCCGTCAACAAGTTTGATTTTGTAATGGTTGTTCATACTGATGAGGTTGAAAACGAAAGGTATTGGGTTCGAGTCGTATAGTGGACATCAACATAGGGATGCAAGTATACTCGTCTGACGAGCCTCATATAGAACAGATTCCACTGTCAGCCATATTCCATCCATTCTATGTAAATCTTCGTCAATATTTTGTTAAGGATTAAAAAGGTTTTCAATACCGTTATCTATTTCTTGACCAGTATAATTTTTTTTGAAGTTTGAAATTTCTTATTTTGTCTTTGATCAGTTTTTTTATACTTAATTTAGATTTAAGTTTAAGTCATTAGCATGTTAACATTACTGAAAGCCTTTTTTCAATTGTTCAACGAATCATGTAACACTTTCTTTTTTGTAATTGCGTCTAGATTAAATAGATCATTTTTAACTTACCTATTCATGTGCATTTACAAGGGTTCTTTTTTCGGTTGCACTGCTGACCTAAGTTTCTATTTTTTTTGTAAGTAAAAGCTGTAGCCTGTTTCGTGTTATAATTTAAGATAAATTGTAAGCAAAATAAATCAAAATTAATTTTAGATTGAATTAATTGAGCCACTGATTCTTATATGAAGTAGGTACTGAAAGATTTTTCCTAGAATCATAATGAAATCTTAGTTATGTCACCTAACACCTACCATAACCATAGATAGTAGTAAATCTTAAGTGATACATAAATTTAGTTTGTATGAATTGAGTGCTATTTCCTTATTAATACTGATTAACTTTTGAATTATTTTACAGTTTACTGAACGGTATTCTGATGTCTTACTGTGAAAAAAGGGAAGGAGGAGAAGCGAAGTGTATATGTCTGAAACATTCTGCTGTCGCAAATGTGTTATTGATTCCAATTAGCCTGAAGCATCGTTCAATGGTACTTCAAAATAAAATCACTCGCTCACTGTCTATATTTAAAGAAAATCTTCATAAAGATGAGAGAATGAAAGAGAATAATAAGGGAATTGATTAGCAAACGTCTAAATCATTAATCAACCATGCAATGTTAACTTCAACTTCTCCCTCGCTACTTTCATATATATATATATATATATATATATATATATATATATATATATATATATATATATATATATGTACTTATTATTAATACCAATTATTGTTGAATGAAAGGTTTTGAATAAAAAAGGAAGAAAATTTGATCAATGTCTAGAAATATTTGTTGTTAAGTTTGTTTTTCTTTCCTTATATATATACATACATAGTTTGCGTGATTGACTGACTGTTCTAGCGTCAAAACATAATTTCTGTTTAAATTATTTTTTTCTCAAAACGGAAAGAAGGGAGAAAGGCTCATTTCAAGCATAAAATATGACGTATATATACGTGTATAATTTATTTTATTTAATGAATTACGAGACTAATACAACTATTAATACTACTACTACTAATAATAATAATGATAATAATAATAATTATTATTATTTGGTATTATTGTCAGTCATCGTTTCATCTCATTTGTTTCTCCTCTGTTTTCTACCTCCTTCCTTTTCTGCATCGAACTGTCTTAACTCTTTTTTTCCCTTTCAGAAAGGTGATTTTCAGTCAGTATTTACAGATCTTGAGTGTTTAGCGTTGTTAACTGCTTGTCTATCTCATGATATCGATCATCGTGGTACAGATAATCAATTTCAAATTAAAACAATGTCTCCATTAGCTAAATTATATTCTACATCGGTGCTTGAACATCACCATTTCAATCAGTTCATGATGATACTAACCATAAAGGTTAGTCGACTAATTTTTCCTGTTCATTTTAACTTTTATGATATTATGTATCTGGAAATGCTTTCCCATTATAAACTGATATTAGCCGATGTGTTATTGGAGATCAACGAGTACTGTATAACCGTAATGATAATATTTGTCAATAATATCTGCCGACGACTGCACACAAGGGAGAACTGCGCAGACGCAAAGCTTGTAGCGAGGAATATACCTTTATGACTAACGAGTCAATTAGTCAATGGTTGGAATCTATCATCGATTCGTGGTAGAAGTCAGCGATCATGCAGTACCGTTGATGAATGTCTCACTTATGGAATGGTTGACTTTAAAGGTTATGGCTGATCCATAATGAAAAATCGTGTGGATTTCATTTGATCGCTTCCCATCTTTCGATTATGAAAATTATCTCCATGATAATCAAAGTTTTATTTAAGTACTCTGAACATAAGATTTTTTTCTAACTCAAGTCATATTCTTGCTAGCTGTCACTGGCAGGACACATTAAAAGTCCTTTGTATGTATAAATTTGTTGTTGGCGAAAAAAGAATAATCTATTTACTTATTAGTGGGCTTTATACATGATAACGCTACTCTGTTAACACTGTTTAAACATACAAATCAATAAGATTAATCATTTTTATACTCGATTTCCTAGTGAGTATCATTATAAAAGAATGAGTACACACTGTTACCGTTACATACGTTGGGATGTTATAAGTGGGTAAGTTGTAGGGAAAGCTGTAAGCTGCTTAAATATAGTCACAATTCGAATTGATCATTACATTTATTTAAGACAAGAAACTGCTAGTCACTTATTAAATTAAATAGTGGGTTTTTATTCTGACCACTAATAACTATCAACAAAATATTAAGAAAAGATTAAATAAATATCCTGTTACGAGCTTAACCAAATTATGGTTTAAATCCCTCTCGAATGTAGATTGACTTAAACTCTGTAAACGTATCAATAGCAATGGTAGACGTCGATAGGAGTTAGTGATGACAGACAATTTGTCAAGAAAATGTGGCGATAAAATTGTTATATATAACTTGACTATTACAGGTGAAGATAGACCATTATTTGATTCAAAGCCAGTTGGTTAAATAGTGAAACAAGCCTTTCGAAAAACATATGGTTTTGTTTCTATCTACCATTTAATTATTTCATTATGTATTTTTATAGCTATGAATTGTGGTCTTTTGAATGTAATTCGATCATAAAGGCTTTTGACTTAT